TCTTCTCTGCAGGTGCGCGGCGGCGTCTCCAACCATCAGGTCCGCTATGGCGGACTATGACTCTCGGCGGCCACCTCTGCTATGGCGCATCAGGCCCTGCACACGACGGCGCGCATGGAATAGCGGGTATCAGCTCCGATACCAATGCAATCTGACTCGTTCTCATCCACACTTTTCATACATGTAAACAGTAGCGCAGCAAACTGGCGACATGCGCCCACTTAAAACTCAGAGATATGGCATCCAGATACGAGTTCACTTTCAATTGGCTATGGCGACTCAGCGCCCAAACAACTCACTGTTCACATACGCCGGATCACCCTGGATATCCCACACGCGTCACTCTGAACACTCGCACATACACACACACACTTCACACTGAACGACAGCTATGGCAGCTATGGCTGCCTCTACCCTATCGCTATGCTATGCTACGCTCCTCTCTCTTGCCCACTTCAGCTCCGGGCTCACTGCAGACCTTGCACAAGTCGCTGTGGCAGCGCTTCCGCATGGCTCGCGCAGGAATGAATGAATGGCTGGGCGCTGCCTCTTGATTTATACTTCTGAAACTCGTTGGTCTGCCCTCTTCCATCGGCCCATGGTGCTCACAGTCCCTTGTGGGACTTGCTGGACCGGACTGGGACTGACTGGACCTTACCGCTGACTGAGTGGGGACTCACTGCTAACCTACCACCGTCGTACTGCAATTGCACTGCAGTTGAGTCCACCACTTGACTCACCACTTGCCCACTTGCCCACTTGCTGACCTTCTAGAAGCTACAGCTAGGACTTCTAGACTTCGCTGAGACTTCTATCCTACAGGTCTACAGATCGAACCCCTGCTACCTACGGACCTATGACAGCCTATCAACTGTTTACGAATACGCAGGTCACAGGTTCAACTCTCGGGGTCTACACAGGTACTGTACACAGGTAGGGCAAGGTCTAGGGATCGAACCCTGGGGTCTGCGTCTGCTACTGCAAATTTCATGTTTTTTGTTTTTTGTTTTTTTGTTTTTTAATGGTCCAATGGACTGCGGATCGTATATTAAACTCATCAGAAAAGATACAACACTTGATCTTAGCCAAAAGGCCGAGAAAGGTTTTCTAACTTTTCTTTTTTTTAAATATTATTATTTATTATATAGTTTGGATCATTTCTCGATTTATGCTTGTCATCCTTGCGCAGGGGCCATTCTCTAATTTACCCTTCTCTGTATCGTTTCAAAATTTTAATGCCGTCCTTCCTTTGATTGCTCCTCTCTTGTTGTTTACTAACTTTACTTGCGCCGGCTTGTCGGTTCCACAGGCCAAAAATGTGTGTGTTGGCGTCCCGTGAGCACTTGTGTATCCATGAAGAGGTCTCTCAGTTGAGAGGTACAATGCAGAAGAACGTGTGTAGATCGCTCGTTCAGCGCTCTCGGTGCTGCTATTTCCGAGGAATGCAGGGTGAGTTGCTTTATTTGCCTTAAATATGGCTTTCTTGTTTTTGTGGGCGCCTTTGTATTTATGTGACGTGACGACAACCCTTTTGTTTTTTGAGTTCATTTTGTCTATGCTTCCTCGACTCCCCTTTTATTCTAAGCTACCAGCGGAGCCCTGCTGGAGTGCACACACTCTGGCTGGTGTTCATCAGTCCAGACACATTCTGGCTGGTGCATGTTGCGTGAGCCCTGCTGGAGCACACACTGGAAGGAGCACATGGCCAGAGGTGGTCGCACACACGGGCGCTGGTGTTGGGCGCTGCTGGAAGCAGCGCAGCACGTCGACCATATAAAGGAAAGTGCTGGACATGCTGCTGCAAGTAGCGCAGAATGGCGGCCATATCCGGGCTGTTTGTGCATGGAAGCCGGTGGGGTTTGTAGTGGTCCCTGGGCATGGTGCTAAACCTGTGAGGGGATAGTCAGGGACTGGGTGAGTAAAGGAGAGAGGAGGACGTACCTGATGTGTTGTGGAGGTCTGCATGGGCGACGTCTTCATGTGCATCAGTCCGCTACTGAAGTTCTTCTGGTTGCGTTATCGTAGTGTTAGCTAGGGTAGGTGTCTTAAGTCTGTGGTTGGGCGCCCGGCGCCATATGAAAGAGCGACACTGGATGCTTTGTTGATGGTGGCGAGGCATCTATTTGGATTTCTGTCATTTGCGACATTACACCACCAGTGCCTTTCCCATATGTCGGCCGCGGGCAGTCTCGGAGGCCCGAAACGAAAAACAGGCCGCTGATTCGATTTATCGACGGCGGCAGTTTCCCATCATCCAGCTTGCCCCCCAAAACCCCTCCCCCGCTTGGTCCCCGCATTACCCGGCGTGTCTCAGCAAAATGGCTGGGAAAGGTACCGGTGGTTTAAGAGTGGAGTCCATTGCTTTGCTCGTATTTGGTGTTTACTTGGTGCATTCTTCTTTCCGTACAACACACGACTATCTGTTTTTCAATGCAATGATGCAATTTGGATTTCTGTCATTCGCTGTCGCTCATTTTTTCCTTGCACTTCTTATTTGATGAAGAAAAGAACGTAGAAATTTAAAAGGCAAGCTCCAGTCGCTTGCTGATCGCCTTATTAGGACTCTCCATGTAATGGCATGTATCTTGTTTTTCCCCCCTCCATTAATTACTAAGTGCAAATTTTCTGCAAAGTATAGATGATATACTAGTTACTACAAACCCTTTTCTTAGTGTTTTACAACTTTTACTATATAAATAAAAGTAAAAAATAAAAAAAACAAAGTTACGAAGTGTATAACCAAGGTCGGTTTTCTTTCCTGTGAATCGAACACAAGGCATACTTTTTTTTTTTTTTTTTTCAAATTTGACCTAGGCTACTAGCAAGGCCGCCCGGGTCACCCTGTTTTTCCCGGGCGGTCCGGTCGTGCAAGGACCAGGGAAGGTCCCAGCAAAAAGAAAAAAAAGAAAAAAGAAAAAAAACAACCTGAAAAAAACTATGTTATGATTGTTATGAAGAAAAATAAACTGAACAACTTTTGCCTCAGGGTGACGCCAAAATTCTTTACCGAATAAAAAAATAAAATAAATTAATTTAATGTTTTTTGCTAGGCTGTTTTCCCGGGCGCCCGGGCACCCAACTTCTGCCCGGGTGCCCGCCCGGGCATGACCCCCGGGCAGGGTTCCGGGCAGCCCCAGCGCCAAAAAAAAAAAAAAAAAAAAAAAAAAAAAAAAAAAACTCAAAAAATTCCAGAAAAAAATTATGTTGCGTAGGATTGAAATACAAACGACTTTTGGCTGAGGGTTACATTATAATTCCTCACAGAATCGGAGATAAAAAAGAAAATAACAGAATCACACAAAGGCACCCCCGTTTAGACCCCTTTAGCCCCTTTAAAACCAATTTATACCCCCCTCCTCCCCCCTTGACAGCCAACTCGCGAAAAACGAAATGAGCCCGGATTTGGAGTCCTCTGGGAGAGCGTAGAAAACCAAAAAAAAAAAAGTCTTTTTTTTTTTTTTTTTGCATGCCCTTGTACCCCGGACGTCACGCCTGGGTGCACGGCTGGGCAGAACCGGCCGGGCGTGAGAATCTTCCTAGGTTTATTGGACCCCGGGCCACTCTGGTAGCCCAGAATTTTACTATTATAGCGGGTAGCCCCCGACATGCTGCTTTGTTGGTGTTTGTAAAAGGGGGTATCCCCTTAAAAGGCTGGCGGTACTGTGTTCATCTGATTGCGTCAGGATTTGAAGCTTGAACTCGCGATCTGTTAACTAACAGTTACATGTGTGTGTCATTCACCCCCATGGATCGGATTATGCGGCGCTGATTTGAAGTCATGATCTTGAACATTTCTTTTTAAAAGCACAACACGAGAAGGCCAAAACACGACTTCTGCAATGAACCCAGTCAGATAGAAAGTTCGTCAATGTCGGAACACAGAATGTCTTAGCCCAGTTTCATTGTCTCTGAAATCGTACATGTAATCAAGTAGCCCAATGTCTCGTGACCAGAGAAGAGGCAGATGGGAGGGAGAAGAGACTCAGAGGGTGGAAGAGAAAGTACCCATCAGCTCAGCAGATAAATCTCCCTCACTAGCCCACTCCTCCTTCGGGCACTCCCTGCTCGCAGCATCAGCAGACAGTCTCCTCTGATACACTCTCACAATGAGCAGATCTCATCATGGCACACACGGCGCTGATTCCTTTGAAGACGAACATCAACGCGAAATGTCGACACGAACACAGACAGGTAAGCTTCCCTTACGATCAACCAATCTCACAGCCCTGATCCTCCTCCCCCTCGCCAACATCCCATAAATGTTGTAGACAGTGTGGCGAGAGCCACACCAGCATAATCAAGAGTCCAGCTGGCACCGTAGACAAAGAAGGCACCAGCACCCAAGCAGTAGCAGTCTCGCGTCGACGAACGTATGTTAGCGTCAAGCTAGCGTCCAGCCAGCGTCTAGCCAGCGTTGGGCCAGCGTCCAACCAGCATCAAGCCAGCATCAAGCCAGCGCCGAGCAGCAAGTTGACCAGCCTCTGGTCTCTCGGATACGCTGGCCCGGATGGACTCGCAGCCAATGGCCTGGATCCCATACAGTTGCAGATTCCCACTTGGACTTGATTCTCAACAGATACCTGCAAACAGCCAAGCGTGTGTCTGATCGGTGGCCTGGGCTGGGTCCATGTTGATTTTGACTCGTGAGCCTGAATTTCCGAGCTGCTGTTGACCTTTGACTTTCCACGGTCAACTGTCGCACGTTGGGCCTCTGAAGCCCAGTTTTAGGCCTTGCTTCAGGTACCCACAGTAGCAAGCCTTTGTTCAGGCAGTTTGCATGACTTGGGCGTGGACGTAGACCCCTGTTTCGGCCCTTAGACCGAAATGACGACCCATGGCCCACGACTATTGCATGGTTTGAGCTGAGTTAGTGCACTTCAGTCTTCCCCCGAAACACAGCGCACCCTCTTCATGACCGTATTGTGTCAAACAGATGGCTTGCATACATTTGACGCCACATGGAAGCGAACTGGTGATCCCTGGCTCAACCGGGGGGTGCCTTAATCATTGTGCAACGATGACACTCTAAATGACCTGCAAAATCACAGACTGAGAACTCTGCTGTTTTCTGAGTTTTGCCGCTGCACTGAGTGACGTGCTGAGATTCCTGTATTCCGCGGAGATTTCTAAGTACGTGTGTGTGCATGATGACTGACTTTCTGTGTGTTTGCCAGGCAGCATGATTGCTTGGGTGTGTGTCTGACCTGCCAGGGTACTTGTGTGCCATGAAGGCCCTTGGACCTGGTACTTACCTGTGGCCATGCTTTTTTGAGGGTGCAACGAGAACTTAGAAGTAGGCTACGTGGTAGGCCCACATAGGATGGAAAACACTCAAGTAGTGGGTAGGTGGGCAGAAGACGACAAGAAGTTAGTACCTTTAGACGCCGAAGTGATTGTAGAAGTCTGGTAGGCTTAGAGTCTAGGGGTACCGGTCCAGTAGTCTGAGTCTAGGGCCTGCAGCGATGTTTCTCTCTGAAGCGGGGAAGGTACCGGGAGCTGGTAGCTTTGGAGGCCGCTCGGCCTGGAAAGTCACCTCTCGACGAAGCAAGTAGGCCTGTATATCTTCAGGGAGAGTGAGAGCTCGTCCTCATTTTGCAGCACGAAGTTTGGGCATCACAGTGGAGCAGCGAGCGCTCAGTTTTGGAGTGGTGGGGAGGAAGAAGGCGAGTTTGGCCCTCTACCTTAGCTATGGTGAAGAGGGCCAAGGACGAGACTCCAGGGAAGAAGGAATAGGAGGAGGAAGACGGTGAGCAAGGAAGAGAGTGGCGGGAAGTGCTTACCTGGATTTGGTGGTCTGCATCTTCATCTTCTTTGTTGGCACTACAAGGAACACTTCGCGGTAGTGATAGGCATACACACCCTACCGTCTTTACCTGAACAAGTGGACCCTGCCACGGCTACGCCGTGGCGCACAGCAACACTCTCTGATGGCGCCTTA